AGTGGCTCTCCACCTGAAATAACTGCCCACCCCTGCACTAACCCCTAGAGCACTGTGTAGGCTTTGCAGCACTGCTAGGCTCTGCCAGCTTGGGACAGAGAGAACAGCACTAGGAATCAAAGCCAGGCCACCCACATAGTACTGCAGAAACCCTGAATCTAAGCTCACCAGGCCGTGAAAATCTAGGTCTGTGAATCAAAACAAGTCCCTACAGTAGCACTAACCGCTGGATCCAGATTTTACTGATTTTACCTGCCTATTTGAAACAAAATAGGGGACAGGTCTGTTTTAGTTCAATGAGGTGTACTTAAAGTACACAAATAAATAAAAACACTGTTCCCCCTCCAGATGAGATTTTCCAAAGCTGCTAATATTGCAACTGCCTGCTAAAATAACTGCTGTTTTGGGAGGAGAAAGAAACATCTTGATGAGATTTTCTCCTCCTAGTGCTGTCTCAGAGGCCTAAAGCTATAGGTCTCTGTGTGATGCAGACTTAGCTGTTGGCTGAGGGAAAGCAAAAGGCTTTGGTGAGCCTGTGGAGATGAGAAAGGGGGGATGTAAAACAAGTTTCAACCGATGCAAGTGCCTCGCAAAAACTGCACTGGGCAAGCGCTTTCAATGACCCACACCAGAGGATGCCTCTGACCCCATCAATTGTTTAACTCGTTGGGGGGGGGGGGTATTCAGGGTGTCTCTGTAAGAAAGCTCCCTCCCCTGCAGTGGAGACCCAGCCCGGCTCGGGGAGCTGTGGGGAGAGGAGGAAGCAGGTGGAGACTTGAAGGGGAACAGGCCCTTCCTCCTCTCCCATGCCCTGCAGGGCGCTGCTCAGAGACCCCCGGGAGCAGGCGCTCCTTCCTCCTCCACGAGCCCACAAAAGCTCCCCAGACGCCCGAGGGAAAGCGCCATGGCCAGGCAGAGCCGGCTCAGCGGACCCCCTTCGCGCCTCCCTGCCCTGCCTCAGGACGGCCCCTGGCAGCGCGGCGGGAGGGAAGCTGGGCCGCTGCCAGGCACGTGCCTGTCCCCGCCTCTCCCCCGCGGGCCGGGCGGCCACAGCTCCCCACGCCCATGCTAAGGCTGAGGCTGCGGCCCGGGCAGGGCAGGGCAGTACCGCCGAGGGGGTGTGGCAGGGAGGAGGCCCCCGGCCCGGGCGCCGCGCTCTCGGCCTCGCCCCGGGCTTGCGCGTGCGAGAGCGGCGCCGGCCCG